TTCTTACTTAAAATGATTTTGCATTCAGAAATTCGGGACTTAAATACGGATTTGATGCACGAGAAAATAGTGCATATTGGACGTGAAGAAGGGAGCAACTTGCACGTGGGGAAAAAAACGCGGCTGATTTAAATGTCACACCTGAACGCTCACATCCTTTTAATTATGTTTGAAATTATGAACATTGCTCAACATCATGAAAATTAAACCTTATTTTCAATAAGCAATCCTGAAAAATATTTGGGGGTGCTTAACTTTTTTCCAGGTGTATATATCTATAATTTCTTTATTAAGCTTAAAAGGGGATTATCATTTTTCCTCACCAAGTTGATGTGTGGACAGTATTTTCATCCGCATTTTAGAGTGTGTAAGTTATGAAGCTACTGTCTAGTTCATTTCCTTAACAAAAAAAAGGCAAATTATTTACAATATTTTTACATAAATATTTCCAAACATATATTTATATTCTGTGGAGGTCATGAGATTACACAGAAAACTCTAAGCCATTTTAACAAACAGGGTGAGATGAGTTCAAACATAAAGTAAACATAGATAACATAAATGAGAAATAATTATTATATAGATATTTTTATAATTTTTTTTACTATTGTTTCTATGATGTAAATACTTTGTACATACAGCCTCTTTAGTATGAAACAGCTAATTTAGTGACAGTCTTTTTTTTACACATTTAATTATTTTTCAACAGCAGTAAGAAAATTTCATTATTTGTGATTAATCACACCTTATAACATAGCTTAACTAATCACTTTGGGAAGGGTATGAACAGCTCTTTCTGACACAAAATATGTTCAGATCAGGAACTCAAAATTTCCAAAATGGGAAGATTTCTTGAATGAAAAACAAAGGAATATGGATCAAACAGGGGTACCAGGACCATCCAGAAAGTTGTACCCTAGCCATGGTAAGTGAAGTGTAGTGTCTTGTAACAGGAAATAAGCCAATAATGTAAGCAACAATATGCAATATAATCAAGGAAGAATTCTGTCTTGAAACAAGACCAAAAGGGTAGGTGTTTACCAATGATAAGGTTTCCAGTCATACATCTTGTTCAACTGTTTCATGCCTCAAGTATCTGGAAAATGAATGTTGATGCTATTCTCAGACCTGCCAACATTAACTCTCTCAACACGGGTTCGGTCAATTAAACTAAACTCTAACTACTGAAAAAAAAATCAAACTAAATTACCCTTTTTTTCTTTCTAGAATGACTTCAAACTGTAACATGAAACTACATTCGTTTATCTTAAGTAGATTTAGCTCGTAACAGTATGCATCTAGTTATCATTAAAATATGTTGTTATATTGCCCTTTGAACCATGTCTAATTACTATCTTTAAATCGGTTGGGAAGCATGCAGCTTACGTTACACTAAAGAATTACATTGCCCATGAGCTGCTTGCGTGTGTACTTTGTGAAACATTTTTATTATATTATTATTATATATTTTACCTAATCTAATCTCCACAAACCCTATTTTTACATTTTAGTTACTTTTATAATTATACATAAAGAACAAACATGAAAAACAGGAAATAAAATACTTTACCAATCTTCAATTTTTTATACTATAGATAGTAATGCACTTAATACTTTTTATTTAATTAAATAATGCACCAAAAAAATATGGACTAATAGCATGCAAAAAGTAGAGAAATTCACTTACCTCTCAAAATTTTCCTGGCTTTCTGACTATACGACAAGAGCCAATACAAATTCCTCTAAACTAGTCGTTAACTTTCCCACAGGAATAGACCATGTATTATAAGTGAAACTGATGCTTATCTATTTAGAACACAATGTTATACAATACATAATTTGATAGATGAAAACCTGGACTTTCTATTGGTTATAGATAATATATAATGAAACGTAAGAGAGAACTATCAACAAATTCTGAAAGACAGTAACAAGTGGGTGTGGCAGGAGGGGTCTGATTTTCTATTTGATAGCTCTGTAACCAAAACAAAATTGAAGGCTATAAAAATTATGGTCTGTCTGAACAATAATGATTTTATAGAGTAATTTACATTTAATTCAATTCCTTTGCATGGGGTAGTGGATAAAATAGCGATGATGACATGCTGAGAGAAAATGTGTCACGTGGGTCACACTAGTAGAAATTTAGGA